AGTAAAAGATATATTAATTTGTAAACTTTTTTTCATTAACATGCTATGCCCAGTCTTTGAAGAAAAGAGCCTAATATATTCTCAAATGCAAGGAGTCGAGCACAAGTGCATACCAATGTTATTTTCTTAAAGGAGTATTAGACATATCGGGTGCAACTCTTCTATAGTAGTGGAAAACCGCTGAAGCCACCATCAGTAAAGGTAGCTTCGAGTGCAACACCGCGATAAAAGCTGTTACCGGCCGGACCCCCAGCTATTAACTCTTTCCCAAGGGAGGAGGCTGTACTTTTAATTTTTATACAAATGGTATATCTTGGTGCTCGGTCGGGTCTATGAACACAAACTTTTAAGCTCTCAAAAGAGTGATAGCATATTAATAAGATCTAAGTTTGAGAGAAATTAAGCCCCATTCATATATTCCTTAAACCTAACCCCTTTTGTGAATACAACAAAAACAAAAGTGCAATGCAATTACCAGAGTGACGATTGCGTGCGTCAAAAATTTGTACTTAGTAAACCGCTCGCAAATGCTGGGGCTCCTACTGGAGGCCAGTCTCAAAAACCATGACGAGTTGTTCTTCCTTGATGCGAGGACGCTATTGCTTGACGACTTAGTTGTCTCAAGTGGTAAATGGGTGTCATAATTGATAAGCGGGCACAAAAGAGTTTCTTGTTGCCGGACAAGAATTTGCCTTTGGCACAAAGTGAGAGTACAATAGTTATGTTGCCCTTTGAGCTTCCACTACAAAGTTTACGTGCGGCCACCATGTTAACTAAAAGTCGATTAAACACCAAAAGTTTCGTCCTGGGAAACCAAGGCATATATCCTCGCCTTTAGAGGCCACTGGGAGTGGCGGTACTACACACTTTTGATTATTCTGCATTAATAGTAATTTTCCAACGATCACACCAGTTGGCAAGTATGATGAGATAGCAATGCAGATACTGGCGTCGTAAGACCAATAACTTTCTGCGTTTAAGGCAATCAGAGTGTGCTGGGTGTTCTACCCTGTGAGGTGTTTGCGCACATTAAGTACAAAAGGATAGGAGAGGTCCTAGGGCCCCTCGTGGTTCTGATGGCGAGTGTTCATCACTCCCACGTGCATTAAAGCTGTTATCTATTAGGTACAAATTAAGCGCATCGAAGAATATAGAAGAGCTATGACCCGCAATTAATGGTGTAGGTAGTAGTGCCAAATTCTTTTTAGACATTTAAAAAAACTGTTCTTGTTGTTTTCTTTAAATTAAAGGCACGGGCCCTCTGCTCCCACAGAAGGAGGAGTTGCTGCGTGTGTGATTACCCTTCTGAAAGTCAGGTTGAACTCCGACAGGACTTGCTTGCGTTTTCAAGCGGTTTTAGCTACTTTGCCAACTTTTAATAGGAGGCTGATAGATCACTATTGTTGACGTAAGAGCTGGTCGTAGTGTCTTCGTACGCGGTCGTTATCGCCAGTTTCCGACATGAGGCACTACTTTGTCTCCAACTGACTGTGACGATCTAATCAACTAATCGCCAAACTGTCTTCGTAGTATCGTGGTGGCGGTGTGGTATTTCATGACCACAGCCGGCAACACCTCAAGTCTAGTAGGGCGTATGTCGGTCTTTAGAGTTTAAAGGCTAATAGAGAGTGTCAGTTACTAACTCCCTAACAAGAAAGCACGCATCTTAAAACGACCGCTGAGTGAATGATGGAGAACTATCCTGCTATTTGTGCCAATAAAAATTATTCTTTTGTATTAAAGCCATTTGTTTTACCTTCAAAATATTTTGGATCAGCATTAATGCCTTATATAGACATGGCAGAGAAAAAAATATATATTATTCTCTACAAGTACTGCTTCTAGCCATAAACCTCAGACTATAGCCCGAATCTTATCAAGCTGAGGAGAGCGTTACCTCTGGGATCTTATATAAGACTCAACCTTTAATATGACACTTTTACTATCAAAACTGGTTGTAGAGAATGCTGACTTTTACCTAAAATCAGTTATTTAAAAAGCTTTCTACTCCGCTTTAATTAGTAAGTCCTTAAGATTCTTTAATATAGTAATGTCCGTCGACTATTATACAAATAACTGAAATAAGTGCTTACGTTGCTAGAGGTGACAAACAGAATTAATATTTTTTTCAAAAAACCGACCAGCCCTAATAATAACAAAACCGGCAGATTTTTTCAGTATAGAAATTTAAAGTCTCAATCCTTGTTGTAAAATTCTAGACAACTATTCACCGTAATGAGGGATGTAGCACACTTTGCTATATGTATAAAACGATCTAGTTTGTCCGACATATATATCCGTTTTTTTGAAACTTACACTCATAATAACAGGCGAAGAGAGGCCCTTGTCTAAAACAATCTATAATTATAACTCTCTCACTGTTTAGTTGTAAAAAAATAACATGTTGGTTGTACTAAAACAAAATGTAGTAAGTATAGATTGAGTTTTCCCCTATAAAAATATATAATACTATGTATTGTCCACCTTGGAGAAAAACTTAACGTTAAAAAACAATAATATATTGTTATGCTATTAATGTTCCAGTAAATTTAAAGAAATCTATCTTTAGGTTAATATTATTGATTAGTCCGAAAGTTTTAAGTAATTTTACTGGATTATTTAAAAGATTTGGGGGTTTGTTCTTTTTTAATCACAAAAAGAAACTTAAAGGAAGGTCTCCGCAAAATTTTGATCTTTTTTGCCTATATAAACCTCTTTTTAGGTTAATAGTCCCTATCATTTTTCAGTATATGCTGCTTATTTGGCTCTACTTAATAATTTTGTTAAGGCGCTTATAAACAGATATGATATAGTTAACGTTTTTAAAATTCCTATGGCTCTTCGTTAGTGGCGAATTCATGTTCGATTTATGCGTAAAAAGAGAGGATCGGAAATTTAATTTTATTTAGACCAAACTCGTATCGTACTCTTTTGACCCGATCGTACCATCTGTAAATGATAAACATACGCCCAAATTTTGTTTATTATCTTTATATTCGAATGTTTTCTCTCATTTTTAATCCAGCTTGTTTCTTTTTAGTTCTTTATCATCCTGCGCTTGTTATTTAGGCTTTCAGTCTTCAGAGATTTTCGTTGTATCAACGTTTCGTTACAGTTTATTTTACCCCTAAAAGAATATTTTACGTTACTGGGGAGGAAGCTTGCTCATCTCAAGTTAAACGATCTTAAAACCCTACATGTTTTAAATGTTTTCTGTACCAACGAAACAGTTATCTAAGCCATTATCATTTATTCAGCTTTATGTTACTAAGCTCGACTTAAGATTTGTCTTTGGCATGTTATTAGTAATGCAATAACGAAAAAACTTTTTTAATGGAATCACGTATAGGGAACTTTAATTTTTATGCTGTGCAAAAAACTGACTCTCTGAACAACGCAACAAGCCCTTAGTAGTTTTTATGTGAACAATTTCTGTGCGTTTACCACATATACTATTATGTCAAAAAGCTTATAAAAATGTCTATTTATTAAAGACGAACAACTTGAGCTTTGCTTGCAAGTTATTTGTCCGACTTCCGCAGCTTCAGCATATTATCATATTAAACAACACAACGATTTCAAGCATTTTAGGCTATCCTATTGTGAATCATTGTTGGTGCCCTGTGAGTTCGCGCAAAGTACTATTTTACTTTACTAACTCAATAATGACTTTTAGATTTTTTTTCTATTGCTTTTCATGATTTCTTATTTAGTTCATTCATATATATATTTTTAAAAATATAGCATTAACACAGTTAAATACGCTTCGACATACTGTTTTAAAATCCTAAGGTCGTAAACTGCCTAATTAAAACCACAAAATATACTAGTATATATGCTGTGTTATAATGATAAATTTGATGCGTTAATTTCCGTAATGATAGAAAAACCCCATAACGTATAACAAAGCCAGTGTTATTAAAATAATAGTAGTTTAAAAATGTTATTTAAAGGGCCAAAGGAATGTTCTCCCAAACACGGTTAACGTTTAAACAAAAATGGCATACACACAATCACTGAAACATATTTCTTTTGAAGATTACTAATTATACCCTTATAAATGTGCTTATGTAAAAATAAATTATAACCATAACCTTGATAATTTTCCAGTTCTTAACTATAAGCAACGTTTTGCAAGTAACATTAAAATCTTTATTTCCTACTCTTTCTACTAAACAAGTATTTTAGTTAAGGTAACACATAAATAAGTTTTACATATAATATTACATATACCTAAATTTAATTAATTAAAGTTGAACTTATCAAAAAATAATTTTAATTCGCATGACTAGAAGCAGTTATTAACAGCGCAGGTTCAATGTTACTTCTGAGCCCCCGTAAAGACTATTGAAAGTGGATTAAAATTAATTACAAGATATAATAATTTTTAAATAAAAAATTCTACTGATATTATACAACAAGCTGCATTGTCATTAAGTAGGGCATAGCAAATGCCATTAAAAAAAACTGAACTAAGCCAACCAAGTCACGTGGGCAAAAAGGGGCTTATTCAAAAGTGTAACTTTTTTAAATCTTGTCTTGCGGCGGAGTTGCTGAATATTTGAGCAGTATATGTATATAAGGTCCTTATTCTTTTAAAAAGGTTTTTCTTATATTATATTATATTTTAATTATTTTTAATTTTATACATTCTCGTTTTTATAAACTTTGTTGCTGCTATGTTATTGTAATTAAAAAGTAGTTAACTTTTGTTCTCGTATAAAGGAGGTCACTCAATTTTTTGTTTTATTTTATAATAATTACTTTTAGAATATTTGGGACTCAAATTATGTTTTTTCACAACAACCATGAGGAATATACTGAAAGTCCCCCACAAGAATTGACACCGGAGGAGTTAGATAATATCCCTTGTACATCTTTTTTAAGTTTACTTTTTTATATTATTATGTAAGTACTTGCTATAGTACCCTCAACGATATACATCTGAATTTTTTTTTAGTATTTACTCCAAGTGGTGGCCTTTTAGGGATAGACTTAAAAACAATTGCTGTTGAAAACGAAGCCGATCTGTTTTTATTTCCAGAAGAAGTTAACAAACGTAGATCAATTGATTCAAAAATATCGGCTTGGACTGGCATATCTTTTTTAACTGGTTACTTTTTGTTTTTACTCCGAGTTTTTAGTTATTTATTAATTTTTTTTTTATTTTTGGATGATTTTTATTGCTCACTTTTTCTTAATTTTATTTTGGTTTTCTTTCGCTGGTTGAGCTCTATATGCTTCTATTTTTTCCCCCTTTATGTTTAATTTTATTATAACTTATAATATTAGTTAAAGATTTTCATTTGGATTATTAATATTTCTTTAACCTTTCTAATTTTTTTTTATTTACCATTTAAAAAAATTCTGACGTAAAGTTCTTTATTTGAAATAAAAATTGTTTATATTTACCAAATACTCTTTTTTTATATGGTTCAGGAAGCGCCCTCGGGGGTACGTGGGGTTTGGGCGAAGGGCTTTTTTCTTCGCGAGGCGCCTCAAAACGTATTTTTATTAACACCGTTTTGAATTCTATTGGCCGAAGAGCCGCCTTCTTAGGAAACTACGGCGCTGTACTTTTAGTTTTTTTCTAGATATATATTTTACCAACTTTTATTAATTTTTTATTTTCTATAGTTTACAGCCAAAAACTATTATAAGTCTTACTTTTTGTGGTTTTAATAACAGTAATTTTCAAAATTTATATTTTTATAATATTTTTTACTTTCAGAGTATAGTTTCATATAAAATATAGAACGTTGTGTATTCGTTTACTAATAGAAGGAGCAAAGTAAATTAAAGTAATAGACTAGAATATTTAGGTTATTGTAATATAAACAGAAATAAAATTTATTTTAAAAGATTAAACTTAAGTAACGCATATGGAAAAATATATTTTTAATATATTAAAATAAAAATTATAGTTAAAAAGTTTAACTAAACTTTCTAAAAACATAATTATTGAATAATTAAGAAATAGAGAATCAATAATAGGAATATAGTAAAATCCTAACGTACATTGAAATTTAAATTTTTTACCCTATTTAAATATATACCTTTTATTTAATTTTAAATAGTAAAGTAACCCAATATTTTTATTGTTACTATTGTGAATTTTGTAGGTTTTGGCTTTACTGCTTTCTCTTAACGAAACTACCATTGAGAAGATTACGGGGAGTACCAGCAATGTGAATACATTTGCTGCTGCCATTGCTACCGGCCTTATGTTCAAGGCGACTGCTGGCTTCCGGGCCATGGCACTTTCAGGCGCTCTTGGAGGAGCTACCTTCGGCGTCGGCCTCGCTTTAAGTCGTCTATTCGGAAGCTCAAAAGTCATTCCATTTTGAAAATTTTTATTACAATAAAATGATAGTTTTTATAAAAAGAAAATAATTAAGGTTGCTTGATCTTTTATTTATTATATTGAATTTATAGTTTATAAAAACCGCTTTTCTTGGTCTAGAACTTCTTTGTTACCTTTTTATGGTTTGTAAAAGTTTGGAAAACTAATTTTTTTCATGTTAAGAGCTTTATTAGATAGACTACACTGGTTACATTTTACTATAAATATTATATATGAGGTTTTGATAAGTATATTTAAAAATTGTATGAATCTCCCTTTTGTTAATCGACTGCTCTTTAGTAACTTCCATCTTATTGAAGGTTTTAAGCCTCAACATTCTATTTAGTGGTAGGATGTATATATATAAAGAGAATAAGTATGTTCTAATTTTCGAAGCGCTCTCCCAAAAGATTTAGTTCCTACTTTTAACAATTGTTAATCTGTTAAAGCTACAAGTACTCCACCGCAAATTTTTAAATTGTTTAAAGGTTTGGGCTTATAATTAAGAAAATTCATTTTATATAACGCTCAGCACAGCAAAATAAAAACCGGGTTTTTTTTTTTAGTATTTCTAATCCATAGTTACTGCGGTTAGGTTGTACTTTGAAAGTTGCTTTAAACTTTGATAGACTGACTAGGGTGGCTTAATCTAAAGTTAACCTAAAAATCATTGTTTTATATCTTAAACGTTGAGGCAGTCTTTAATCTAATATTTCGTCTTTCTCCTTCCACATATAAGTTACTGTTTAAATAACTAAAAGTCAAATATACTTAAATAGTTAAAATTGCCTAAGAGCTCTTTTTTTTTTTTCAATTAAGTACTTATATAGTTAAACAAGAACAATTTGTAGCACTGCGTCACCGCTTTCAAAAGAATTGCTTAGAAAATATCAATGACAACCATGACTAACTAAAAATCGTTTTAATTTGAATTTAAAAGTTATTATTCACCAAGCACGAGAAAATAAAGAATAATCAAAATAAAAGAAAAGCTTACAAAGAAAACAAAAGTTTGTCAATAGTAAAAAATAGTTTTGCTGTATTTTCATAAACCCCTTTTAAATGTTCGTAAAGAATATCGGCCAAATTTGAACGCTAGGGCTTTTTAGATATAAATACATGGTCCTCCCCGAAGTTGGTATAATATATGCTTGCGGAAAACAATGTTAAAAAAATTGTGTATATAAGATTTGCAAATAAATAATCTATTAAGTCTAGAGGCAAAGAGCGGTAAAACCTACTCCAAGAGCTTAGAAAAAATTTTAAAGTACGTAGAGCAAGCTCATATGCTTTGTATATAGTTAAGTTAGTTTTCATCGCTCGGAGTTTTTAAAGTTTCGAAAAATAAAATTTATTTACTTTTGTAGAGTTTTTAATAATAGAGTTTTAAGTTTAAAAATTTTAAATTAAATTAAATTTGGGTGCTTCTCGATCAGTGAGGAACGAAGTATATAAATTTGAATAACTTATTTATTTAGGCGCTATAGTTCTTTATAAGATAACATTTTTTTTCTGTATGAGTTATAATCGTCCTTATAAATTAACGAATTATCCACCTTCTAGAGTAACATATCTTTCTATTTTGAAGGATTAGGGTTCTATTTTTCTTAAAAAGTTTTAATATTAACTTGGTGAACTACTTTTTCTTTTATCAATGCACGTATAGTTATTAGGGTTTTTCGCAACTCTAACATATAAGCCTAAGCCTTCACTATACTGTGTCAATGTGCCAATTCATAAAAGTACATTTTTTATTTGTTTGTTATGTCATAGTTTTTAAAGCTTTTACTCCTTTTTAGGTAAAAAACAAAATTTTTTCACTAGTAGACTATTGTGAAGCGCTTTCTCTTCAAGAGAGGATAGTTAAAGCTTTAGTATAATAAATATATTCTTATACTTATTCACAAATATGATTTCACTTTTATATAGATAAACAAGGAAACTTGTCACACCTTGATTTTCCTTCAGCATCCGCCGACTTACACTATCGGAAGGAAAGGTATTTATAATATTTCAGACGCGCAGCGGCTCAAGAAACTCGGAGCTTGCTATTACAAAGTTTGATTTGTATATATGAAATGTTATATATAATAAAATATTATAAAATTTTATTAAATATTTGTAGTTAAACGTTCATTTTATCAATTCATTAAAGAAATAAATAATGCGTTTTATAACAAAATTTATAATTTATTTTGAATTTATGCTGTTTGTAAAAGGAAAATAGTGCAAGAAAATTTCCAAAATAATATAAAATTTATCATAGGAAACTTATTTTAAGGTGGAGTTTTGATCCTCTATTTTTCACATTAGCTTATGTAAATTAAGAGTAAGCTTTTATTATTTTTTACTGCTACAACCGTAAAGGATTTGATACTCTCTAATTGCATCAGTGCAACTAAATAGGAAATTCCTTTCTAGCTTTAAAAATTTAATAAAATCTTTTGTTTAAGAAATTATCTTTTTACTTAATTTTTATGTAATCCTTAGATTATTAATTTTAGAAAGTAATTTTTTATTAATAACTTTACTTTGTTTTATACGTTTTACTTTTAGACAAATCGGGGCGGTGGCATAACTTTTCACGGGCCTGGTCAGTTAATTTGCTATCCAATACTGGATTTAAGTTTTTTTAAGGTATAATTTTTTCTTTGTTAAAAATATATTTTACGAGCTTATTATATATTAATTTTATATAAACTCTAATTTTGATTCCTTTTAGTTCCTATTATATTATTTATATTTTCCCTCACAGTATTAATAGTTATATAATTAATCGTTTCTTACTTTTTACTAATAATATTTATCTTAAAAAGATTTAGTTTAATATATTATTTTCTATAGAAGAACGTGAAGTGGTACGTCAATGCGATCGAGCAAGTCGTTATTGACACGTGCAAAGATTTTAATGTTGAATCAAGGAGGACAGAACATCCCGGTACGCACGTTACTTGTGTCTGTGCGTTGTATATATAAAAGCGAATCCATCATTTTGCTTGTCACGTGCGTTTAGTTCCTTTTTTCTTATATAATCATTTATAAAAATTGTTATAATTTATACCTTTTTAATAGTTACTAAAGATTACTGAAATTAACTTATTAAAAACTTTATCCTATATTTTTAGATTCAAGTTAATAATTTTAATTTTTTTAAAGTAAAAAAAACAGAGGCTTCTTGCTAGGCAGTGCCCTTTATATTTAAATCATTATACTTTATGAAAAGGGGTGTCTGATCTTTGTTTCTTCGCTTTTTTTATAATCCCATGGTTAATTAATAAATTAATTTTTATTAACTAAATTATTAAATTCTAATAGTTTGCTTATAAAATTATTAAAGTGCCATAGTCTAATACTTTTTTAAGTGTTACTTTTATTTATTACGGCGCATTTTTTGTTGTATAATTTTTTGAATTAATAAGCTTCATAGTTAAGTTTAAACATAGTCGATTTGCATTCTAGTGGTAATTTAATCTTTTTTATGGTTTCTTCAACATTTTTATCTAGCGAAGTTCTTGGGTTTTTATTTTAAATTTAAAAAAGGCTTAACTTAAATTTAAAAAAAAATTTTTTTAAAAAACAAAAATTTGTGAATGTTTTCTAAAATATTTTTTTTTAAATTTTTTTTTAATGAATATTTGATACTTTCCTCTAATATATTTTATATACATCTATAATGATATTGTTTAATAACTTTTAGCACATATAAGTGGTAGGGCCTCTGTTAATTTCTTTTTTCACCAATTTTATTTTCTATTACGAACATAAATTTCTTATATTATTATTTCTTATAAATTTACTAACGTCCCATTGAAAACTGTTTTCTTAATTTTTAAATTTAAATTTATAAACATTTTCCGAGCCTGTAAACTGTTATATAAAATAAAACTCATATTAGAAAACAATTAGAAAGTTCGCTTTTGTATATAACACGTGTTATTGAGTTCAACTGTTAATTTGGTACTTTTTAAGGTAAGTTTAACTTGAGTGCCATACTCTGCCTTTCACGCTTTCTGTGCTTTTACAGTGGACAGCTTACGACTTTTAGAGTTATCAATAGAATATTATTACTATAATTACTATTATATATATATTTAAATCACCTACAAGAATGTGTTTTTCTCGATTTATAAAAAATAAAAAATACACACAGGCTGACCGACTTCTCTGGTAAATCCGGTTAGCATTGTTTTCTTTTATTTTTTTTCAAGCCCAAAAAAATAAAGCTGAAGGCGTATCACTTTTGTATTACCGTTCCTTCGCATTATACATATCTATGTTTTGTATAAAAAAGTAACATTTTCTGCGTTGCATTTTTAATATAAAACTAAAAAAAGTTTATAATGGAACCCGCACTCCCTCTTTTTTTTTTACTGATACCAATCATTAAAAAAAATATATAAGGCGTATGGATAGATGACACCAAGAAAATTGCGTCTGTTGGGATTGCGCTCTCCAATTGGATCACATCACACGGCTTTGCGTTGAACGTCGACGTGGATCAGTTTTGGTTGGATGTTTTTATTATACTTCATTGGTTTATACTGTATTTTGTATGTATTGATTGTAGTATTATTTATGAAGGCCCAAATAGTATTATATTTTTATTTATTTTCCGTAAGGTAGTATTATTTACTTAATGGAAAAATTTATTTCATGCTTTAATTATTTTTGTTTCCCAAAGTATTTGAACTTTTTTAAAAATATAAAAATATTGTTTTTGTAAACTATAACTATTTACACTGGCAATTTACTTTTCGTTCCGCTGTCATCAATCATGTGGCACCGTACGCAATGCACGTCATGCCGTGCTGTACTCACGTGCAATGTTTACCGCGTGCACGTGGTTCACATTTGGTATTTTTTGCTTGAGCGCTTGTGAAGCAGCAAATTTTCGATCAAGTTAAAAATGAAGCCGAAGGCGAGCTAACTTCTTTCCACGTGCTTGAAAAACGAGGCTACGTGCATATATTAAGACGAGCAACTTGGCACAATTATATTAAATCGGATTTTTAAAACTATTTGTTATCTTCAAGTATTTATAAGCAAAAAAAGGGAAACAGCTCGACTGACGTGTCATATCTTATACTTTTTAGTGTGCCCACTTTTATATATTTTTTTAAAAAAAACAAACTAAATACTTTTTACAGAAAGATTATTAAACATAAAGTTTTTTATTATAATATTTTTTGCTACTGAACGAAAAAAAAATTTTGATATAAACTTTCATAACAAAAATTGATCACTTGGTTTCTTTAAGTAGTTTAAAGAGATTTGTTTGTACTTTAATAATTTCTTTTACACTAAAAGTATTTTTTTACTTTAATATAAAATTTCCTTTTTTCTATTATTTGTAAATTCTACTTTTGTATAAATAAAAATATGTTAATTTATTAAAGCTTTTTTTTATTTATAATAAAATCTAACTCTGTATAGAAGTATACTTTTGCTAACTTTTATTATATATATATATTGTTAAAAAAATTTTAATTGTTATTATATTCATTAATTTTACTTTTATGGATTCCGAATATATTTTTAGTTATTTTTTGATAATTTTTTAGCTTTTATAAGAATTTCAATAAAAAAAATTATTTTAATATATTTTTTTATAAAAAATTACAAACAATATATTATATATTTTTTATAGAATTTTTCTTTCGATTATATATTTAAACTTTTTTATTATAGTATTCTTTATTTCTATATTAATTTTTTTTTGTATTTATCAATAAAAAATGATGATCCGTTTAATTCGGATACACCAATTCATAACATTAATTTATTTTTTTATTATAAATAAAAAATTTTTACGATTTGCTTCATTATAATTTTTTATAATTATTAATACAAATTTCATTTTTTGTTTTGTTTAAAGATATCTTTTTTATATTTTATATGTTTATTTACGATTCAAACTTAAAGGGAATTTTTTAATAATTCAATATTTAATAAAATATATCAAAAAAAATTTAAATATACTTGTTTAAGATAATTAAAAAAAACCTTAATTAAGTGTACTAGTATTAATAGTTTTGTTTTTAAATTTTATTATTCTATAAAGTATAATAATTGATATATATAAATACGTAAGCATTACTATTATATTTTTAAATAGAATTATAATAATTATAAAAGTTTTTTATATAGAAAAAAATAGAAAAATAGTACTAAAATTTTATAAAGTGTATTTTGACTACGCAATTACTTCTACATGCGTGCAGTTATAATTTTAATTTTATATATTATATATTAATAATGAAAAAGTAGAATAACTTTTAATATCTTTTTCAAAGAAATCCTTTTTATATGTGCGTAGTTTTTGCATGCGACTCTGCAACCCTCGCAGACTGCCGCCCTGGATAGCGTAGGAGAATTATAGTAACAAATAACGATAATAATAAAAAACAGAATAATTTATAACAAAAGTTTTCGCTAAATTTAAAAATTTTAGAGAAAATCATTCTATTCTTTAATTTTACTAAAGAGTGGTCCGCGAAGCCGTGATTTGTTTATAATAAATTTAAATTTATTTATAATAAAGATTTAATACAATTATACTATCAAGTAAATATGAAGTTACGATTATTTTTTGTCTCACAAAATTATTCCGTTGTACTAAAAAATTTAATAATTAATTAAGTTTTATAGAAAATAATTTATAAACAAAGTTACTTTCAATAAAAATTTATATTTTTTAATTTTTTTAATTTAAGGTCATATAATATATATATAATTTTTTAATCCGATTTATATCTGTTAAAAGTTATAAATTTTAAGGTTTCAGCATATAATCCCTTGCGGCCTTGAAGGAAAAAAAATTACTTCCTTAAAAGATGAATTAAGCGGAGCGAATGTCGTTTCGGTTGAAAAGGTGATCCCTTCTGTTATTAAACACTTTGAAAAAAAGTTTAAGTGTAAAGTTCTTAAAAGCGAAGATTAGAGTTTTGAGAAAAGTTATTTGTAATAGTTATTATTACTCTAAGAGAATTTTTTAAAGCTAAACAGTAAATAAAAGTTTTTTATATTTTTAAAAATAGTTTCTGTGTAAAGAAATTAAAGTGATTTAAAACTAAATTATAATAATATTATTGCTAGAAAATATATTTTTGTGTTTTTTATGAAAATATAATAACTACATTTACACTATCAATGATCTTAAAAAAAAAAAATTACAATTTAAAAAAATAGTGATTGGAATTTTTATATAAAATTATCGCAAGATTATATTCTTTGGTAATTTTAAGAAACATAATAACTTGGATAAGAATTATAAAGAAGGTAACTGTGTTTGGCGTTCTTTTTTTTAAAGTAATAAGCTGTTAAGTTTATTCTTTTTTGCGCCTTTTGATTATTACTTTTAAGCATTTGCAATTATTTAGATGCTGCGTTTTCTTTGCTTCATAGCTTAGTTATTTTACGATACCTATACTATTGTAACGTATGTTAATAGCCCACAAAGAACTAAGCCATAATTTTTATCTTAAAAGACTGCGTAAAGAGTCAATCAAAAGCTTCTCGCTTTCTTGTAAGCTGGGATTAATAGCGTAATGTACAGCTGTAACTGTGCCTTACCAAAGGGGATAGCTCCGTTGCAAAGTTAAAGCCGCTTAAAATAAAACTATTTTTACCTCAAGAAAGGTAAAGACGTTAAGTTAACCAAACGGGTTCCTGCGTGCTTCTCATTTACCAAAAAAAAAGAGGTGAACATACAGAAACATTAAGTTAATAAAGCATAAAATATGAAATAAAACGTGCTTATTATAAAAAAAAAAGTTGAAAATAAAGAAAGCCATGACTAAACTTTTGTGAATTATAGCAAAAGAATTCAACTAAGTTTCTTCCCCAGGAAAACGCTAAGTACTCAATAGTTTTTACAGTTGAGAGTTTTAAAAATAATAGAAAAAAGGAAAACTTTCAGCCACTAGTTAAAGAGCAGAAGAGGGATTTATACTCAATAAAGTTTGAATTCTGCTCCCTTTAAACTCTTGTTCAACCTAAAATGTTCTACTAAAGTAGAACGGGAAAAAAAAGTGAAAACTAGTAGTTTTCTCCTTTCAGGCAGCTTACGATGTAGTCTTGATTCCGCCCCTGCGGCGCGGTCCTGGAAAACTGATGAGTGGTAAACTACTCGGTTGCCAGGGCCGACCGTGAAGGGGAAAACTACTAGTTTTTACTTTTTTTTCCCGTTCTACTTTAGTAGAGCATTTCACTGAGCTAACATCCCTAGACTGTTAGTTCATTCTTGTGTTCTACTAAAGTAGAACTTTATTAGCAAATTGCTTAAGTGGTTAAGTGGTATAACCTTACTTCTTTACAGAAAGATCAGTGTTCAAATCTATTCGTAAGCATAGCTGCCTTGGGGCAACTACTTCAAGTGGCTATCTGATGCATTTTTATGAACTTTGTAGCCAAGGGCTCTAAGTGAAGCTTTCTAGCTCGTTATAAGCTAGTACACCGAAGTCTTAGTTTTTAACAAGGCTTATACAGAGGTAAGCAATATTCGTAAAATTTAGAATATCTCTGTATTCACTTTTAGTTCCTGTGTTAGGGTTGGAGAAACCAAGGTGAAACAATAGAGTAAAAACTTATAGAAAATAGTAATGTTCTTATCAATTAGGAAGTAATCTTGGTTACTGAGCATGTCCCGTATGCTACCTTTATTTATCTTTTATCTTACCTTAGTGCGGAATATGCTCCTAAGCTATCGCTCTCTTCCGGAGCCACTGATGCAATTATACCAGTAATTTTGTCTCCCAATTTTACTGGGTATTTCCACTGTAAAGTGTCATTTGGGTCATTTAAGATCTCTCCAAATGACGTATAAGAGATAGGAGGTTCGGCTCGTGTTCTTGCATGCGAAACTTAGTAACTTATTTTAACTTTTTGCGGAAAAAAAATGCACGGACAACCCTCATTGAACTTAGACCACAGCGACAGGTTGTACTGAGGCCATCGTTTAAAGTTAGGTACATTAACCTCAGCTGTATAGGTTGGTATGTTGAGTGGAGGTATTTTGCGTTTTTTGGTGCATACGACTGATAGCAATTCTCGGTACATTCTTCCAATGATTGTACACTCTTCAACGGAATAATGGTTGCTTTTTACCGCCAGGACGTTATCGTAAAGCGACCTAAAAAGATAGATCCTAGATAAAAATTAAGCATATAGTCGCAAGGTAGTTTCGAGCTAACTTTTTGGTGTTTTTAGGTCCTTGAACTGACTCATATATCGGTTTTTATCGTAGCATGATCCGTCAAGCTTAATGACCATCTTAGGGCTGATTGCACGAGAATTGTAGTAACCTGTCGACTTTGCGATGGTTAGTAACCTTCTACTATTCGGGTTTTCATTGACTTCTGCTGAAACACCAAGTGGACTTAAGGTTATCAAACGAATTGAAACCCCCCCACCCCACCTATACCGTAATTATCGTTACCTTGCTTAAGTTATAAACACAAACTCACCTATTACGGACGCAACATTAATTATATAATTTCGTGTGCATCAAAATTTATTGAACTCCTTCAAAAAATATTCCAACCTTTTTAAAAAGCACCTTTCATAAAGTTTCTTAATTGTACTTAAACTTTCTCCATATTTAAGAAAAAAACCTTAATTTTACTATTGGCGTCCGTGTTCACTAGTTATTTAGTAGACTATTATAATAGAATGACTTTTATTTCAATAAAGAGAAATGGAAATACTCGAGAGTTAAACAATTTGCACGCAAGGAGGACTGCCCCCACGAAGCTTAGCAGGGCAAAAAGATACAAAATATCTGCGATCAATATAATCAGGTGGACAGCGCGTGCAAAAAAATCTTTTTTATATTATCTCTGCGCCACGACCCTCTCCAGTCCCCTTAGCTTTCCTATGAGGTCCTCTCTTATTGTCTTTGGCCTGCTTCTTATCTTTTGTTTCCGCTTCGGCAGGCCATTAAAGCAGGGGGATTGTGCAGGTTTGCCTTTTTTTTGAATTGCATATTTAAATAAACTATTCTTTTTTTAACGCTGTGTAGTTTGTATGTCTGCTTTGGAAAAAAATTGAAAATGCTGTCGATAAACTTAGAGACAAAGGCACTATAGAGGAGCTTGATGACTTTGTTAAAAACTGGTGCTCCAAAGCAAAAGGAAAAGAGGAAAAATTCGTATGTTTTTTTTAATTTCACTTTGAATATTTTTTCTGGTTAACTTTTGTTGTAGTGTTATTATATAGGCGGTTTGGCTACTTCTGCAACGAAAATGTTGAGAGATTTAACTATGCCTTTAAAAAATTACATACCCTCGTCTAAGATTTGTGAACGTTTGAAAAAATCGAATCCTGTAATTTGCGAACTTAAGTTTGGTAAAGCCCTTATATCTTGCCGTTTCTTTAGCTTAAACATTTTTTGTTTAGATAAACCCATCGACTTGACGGGTGATCTTAATAAACTACGCATCGGAGATTTAAAGAAAGTTTTATTGGATTGGGGCGAGGACTGCAAGGGTTGCTTAGAGAAATCAGAATTTGTTGCTAAAGTCAAAGAGCTTCTTACCCAACGCGCTAAGTCAAACTCTGAGTTATAATAAAGTTACCTGTAGCTTTTCGTAAAGCATGTTACGTTATGTAATGTTATTGTTTTTGCTAGCTTTATATATTAAACAGATTACTTTGTGGTTTTTTTCTAAACAGTCGTCGTATTATATATTATTAAGTCGACTAAGAAGTTTGTTGTCTGCTAAGTTATAACTTTTGCAATATAAACTTAAGTATGGCCTCTAATTTTATAATAGTTTTTCCTGTATCTTCCTCAATAAAAACCAATTTCTGGTTTTATGTAGTTTGTATTCTATTTATATATTTTTTAATGTCCGTTTCGTACCCACTTTTCTATTCTAACAAGTCCATTTTCATAACTTTATTAACTGCGTCGCATCTATCGTTGGTTAAGCTAATTTTTAAAGGAGGCAATGCGTAAATTTTTTTATTACACTCGCCTCCAGTAAATCCTCAGGCAAGAGTAGTACTGGTTAGCACTTGTGCTTAAGCAATTCTGCGTCTGAAATTATCGAATTTTTTTTTGGCAAGTGTTCTTAATAAGAGAAAATATATTTTTTTAAAATCCAACTATATACACTCTAAAAGCAGAATGTTAAGTTTTATAATTGTAACAGTTTTTATTCAGGATTGCTGGGATGAAACCTTTTAAGACAATATACAAAAAGCGTTCTAAAATTAGCTGGGTGGCAGTAGCATAATATTTTATATGACCAGTGAAATTCTATGCAATATTTTTTTTTGAAGTTTATTAGCTCCTTTCTAAAAAGAAAGAAAGGGTAATGTGGCCTCTAATCTCTCCAAAGTTCGCGGAGCCGATTTTTAATAAATATTTTGGGTTTTATATTTATTGCTTATAAAAAATAATTTGTGGATTTAATAAGTAGTCTTAAGCCTAATGACTGGCCGAAGCAGTTCAAATTTTGTTTAAAATTTTTATAAAATAAATTAATATTTTTAGAAATTAGTGAGCTGTAATAACTCGAAGATTAACGTAAACAGGGCAACCCTTAAAGGCCTTAACTGGAAGTGACTACCCAGTCGAACATGACTGCTCAACTCAACGTATCCTCCACAAAGCTTGATACACTTTTGTATTCATACAAACTAATTGTTAAAGTTATATAGTTTTCAAATGTGTTGGAGAGGCGTGCGCAACTGTATTCAATAGAAAAATCTCTCTAAATTGCAGCCAACTGTAAAGAGACTAGACAGGATACATACTAACGTACTGTGGTTTGCCTTCTATCTTGGAATCTAAACTACCTGTGGGCAAGTTTTTAATCTTATGTTTACGTTATTTGGAAGTTCTGCCCACCAAAGCAATTTCAAGTCCTGGTGCAAGCGCAGGTTAAGTTAATAAATCCCTTATTCAATTTCAACCTATTTTGCCAGCAAGCGCTATACTTTAAATCTGGTTAACTAAGCTTAAAAGATTAAGGAATAACCGTTGTAAAAATTAATAAAGCACTTTGATAGGCAGGAGTACTTTTTCTGTATACTTAAATGGATTAAATGTAAAAATTAAAAAATTTTTTGAAGCTGTGGTGGGAACTGTCCGGGAATTGATTCTCAAAGCTCTACGTGTCTGATAACTTCGTTGCCAATCGAGGTGTATGTAAACAGCAAATTTTATCGAGAATGATACCCTGCAAGTGCTAAACAAGTTTTCTTTGGCATAGTGATTGATGAGATATGGCTAATTAAAGATCCAAGAACCGTAGTTGGAAGAATTATAGTTTGCGCACTGTATTTATATATCTATGGCAGGTATGACTTTAAATGCCTTAAATTATTTTTAAAACCCTTTAACAGGCAAAATTCTGGAGCTTAAAATAGATTGTTTTACGTTCACTGGTAATTAAGTTTACCGATTTTATATGTTTTGCTGGCTGCGGCCTTATCCTTTAGAACATGGTACTCAAACTTACTAGAGGTAGTTTTAGAGACCGAGACTGCTGTTTAGGGTCAATTTCAATAGACCTACTCTTGCAAATTGAACCTAGGCGACAAGTGGTAGACATAGTAACCAGTAACCTATGAGGGTTCAAATACTAAATCTAAAGGGACTAATACCCAACCGTTTGCATGGTTCTAGTCACGCTTCCCTATTATATACAAGGCTTACAACTCTAACACAAACATCAATGACTGCTTTCTGCCTCGTCGAATTGTGGATTTTAAGAAAATTAAAATAGTATTCTGATTATCTTTTTTAAAAGTTGATAGTCTATAAGGTGTTTAGTTAAAAGTTTATCAACATTTTGTTTATAAGGAAGTTGTACACGTAATCGCCAAATCAGAATAATGCGCATTGCACCGACGGGATCAAACCGCGACCATAAGATTACGCGACCAAGCTTTAACCACTGAGATACGGGGACGGCTCATATCTTCGGTCGAGAAATTACGTATGACTCCCCTGTATTTCGCTTGAGAACACCACAGAATCTTTACGCCATCAAAAGTTTAGGACGTTAATAAATGAGTGCATTGCTTAGAAATTAAGAGCGCTATTTTCTTCATCGCTTTTATAGAAACTTCCCAACTACGGCACCAGTCAACAAGGGCGTCAAGATAGCGCTGTAGATACTTGCATAGAGGGATCGCAGCGGCGCCTGTGTATCTCCCACGCGCAGGCTGAAGACGCGCCCAATTAGATATGACTTCAGCACGTTGTAAAAGTCATGAGAAATGGATAACATGCGAAGTTTGTGCTGCAGACCTTCATGCTAAACTTGATCAAATGCATTTTTAACATCAAGGAAGACAGCGCCTATTGCCTTCTTTACTTAAACAGCAAGCGGTTCATTTAGTTAAGCGAAGAAGCTGCAGGGTCGTTGAGTGTCCTTGCCGAAGTCCATTTCAAACCTCCGGCAAGGCGTTCCGAGCGTCAACGACTCCTTTAAGACTGCGCAGTAAAGCGACCTCACACCTTTTGCTGACTGCTGACAGAAGACTGTTAGACTGGTGCTTGCTAAATGCTGATACCGATTAAGTGTCTTTAGCAGCATCACATCGGTCGCCGTCTTCCATCGGATCGATAGGCGCCAAGGACTTCGCAGATTTTAATAGGAGGTACGGATAATGAATCCCTGTTAACTGCATTTTCTTCAGTATTTCATTAGTAATGTTATCGGGGCCAATTGTTTCTCCCTTGGGTAGCGCTTCGGCAGTTGCCTGAAATACGCCAACGTTGACAAGCTTAAGTGGTTTGTAGACATTGGGAGGAGGGGGGATAAGCTCTGCTATTGGAACGCACCAGTGGCAGTTAAGCAAACAGCAGGCACGTTTAGGTAGCAAGGAGATTAGAAAAAAGCATAGCTTTGTTTCCATCACTCTCGGCCAATAAATTTCCTCACGAAGGGGCGGTAGTGGTGCAAGTCCCCGATTTTCAATCTTTTAAACAAATTTTTAAAATGAATAGCGTCTGCTGCTGCCCGATTTTGGTTATATGGTGTAGCTTGTCCTCCATTTATTGTTAAGATGAGCCATTAGCTACTTTCTTATGCCACTGGGCAGTCGATTAAAAGCAAGTTTGTCTTAGGCGCTCTGCGACAACATAGCTACTCGAATAAGACGTCGAAGTTGACCGATAAGCGCCTATAGTACGTCAGGCAGAACGAGCTGAGCGGTACGTTACTTCATGAGTTGTTGCGGCAGTAGTGTGAGCCATGTTCAGTGCGTTTTCGAATAAGGCAACAGCACCAACCGGCAGGGAGTGTGTAGGTAGCCTTACATTGATTGGGAGAGAGCATAGTTTCTAAAAATTCTGCATATTTGTCACAGATGGTACAAAAGCGGGTGATATTCTTCGGGTGTGTCCTTCTCCTCGTCTAATTCGAAAATAACTAGAAGTTTACCGGAGGACAGCTCGTGGAGCGCGACAGTTGCCTTTAAGAGAAGTATATCTTTTTTTTTTTTTAGCGATATCCAGTACATCCATGGCACTTATAGTCGCTAAATGTTAGGTAGCTGTTTGACCGAGTATGCACAGTCCATGCTCATAGGCTTCGAGGATGTGGTTCTTCGGGTTATAGATCCGGCTGTTCCATGTAGGGTGCTTGCTATTGAGATTCCGCACAAAACAGTAGTGAATTCATTCTTTAGGATGGCGTTCATATCGGAGGGAGGTAGTAGCTTCCAAGGGGGTTTGTAGACAGTGATCACAAGCACGTGTCTCTGGTCGGTCATACATAGGGAAATTCCCACTAACTCGATATTTGTAAAGCTAGCAGATTTCGGGTAATGTTAAATGCTCCGTTTTACCAAGAAAACCAGGCACCGCAGGGCATATACCCGGTTTTGGAGACGCGTTACTAAGTTGCACAGGTTAAATGCGACGTTGGAAGAAGGTGTATCTAGATGAGGGCACACACATATTTCTTTTACGTTGTAACAGCTTCAGAATTTCATGCTTCTTACTCTGAATACCATTTGCATTTTAGAATAGTATTCGAATGTTGCGGCGCCTCTTTGGTTAAGAAACCGTTGCAAACATAGATTCTAGTTTTTTTCACAGTTTCAAGCATGCGGAAATAAGTCGTCGTTAATATTGCTAGCAGCTATCGTAATCGGCTGTAATTGTTGCTGTTGCCGAGCAGTTTTTTTTCGTAGTAGAAGCGTGGCCAGGAGCTTTAGTAATTAATAGAATGGTGGGCAAGTCTTGATGAGGAGGCCCCCAGGGTAACGAAATAGCACGGATGGAGTGAATTTTGCGAATTGACTGGCTGCCTTCCGCGGATAATATTTTCAGCCTTAATAATTAGTGTGCTCATCACCGCAATTTGCACAAGTAGCAGGACTATCTCATTGCTTTCGTGCATAGAGCTGTGAAGTGATTCTCGCCACATTAATGTATTAGGGGGCTGGAGTACAAAAGCTTGCGGTGGTCAAAAGATGTGAACACGATGGCAGCAAAGCGATCACTCTTCCAAAGCGCCTCCGTTTATATTTGAAGACGAGAGATAGTCTTCACTTTTGGGTATATGTAATAAAATTAGTGGTAACGAATCTTCTTACATGTGCTA